GCGCCAACAAAGAGGCCAAAGATGGACGCGGAAATACGCCACTATTGTTAGCTGCTGGGGACGGAGGCGAGAACAAGGACATTGTCCGAATATTGATTGAGGCGGGTGCCGATATCGAGGCTACAAACGAGGACGGAGACACACCCCTTCTTCTCACGGCTAAGAAAGGAGACCTGGGCATGGATGTCGCCCAAATGTTAATCGAGGCAGGCGCCAACATCGAGGCTACGAACGAGAGCGGATCTACGCCACTATCTCAGGCTGCGTTTGAAGGAGACAGCAGCCAAGGCATTGTCGAACTATTACTCCATGCCGGCGCTAACATAGAGGCTGAGGATGGTGGCGGAGATACGCCGCTGTTGAGAGTTGCTGGAGCCAAGGGGGAAATCGGGGGTCTTGCCCAAATGATGATTGGGGCGGGCGCCAATGTGGATGCTGTTAATAATAAAGGGGCAACGCCTTTATTAGTAGCCACCAAAACGAGGAAAAAAGGTGTTGTCCATATGTTGTTGGAGGCAGGCGCCAACAAAGATGCATCGGATGATACGGGAAATACGCCGCTACTCGAAGCGGTTTCGTGGCGGGATGGGGAAGAGATCGTCCAAATGCTGTTGCGGGCAGGTGCCAACATAGATGCAGGAGTTACCAGAAAGCCCGGGACCGGAATACCTACGTTCCCGTCCACCACCGGGGGGTCTCCATTCCTGTACAATGGCTCCGAGACACCACTGCTACGGGCAGCTAGGTCGGAACATGACAAGATTGTCCAAATTTTGCTAGAGGCAGGTGCTAACAAAGAAGCTGCAGATGATAGAGGAAATACAGCGCTGATCTTAGCGGCTGAGCATTCACCTCCTAGGGACAAGAGCTTCTCAATATTGTTGCAGGCAGGTACCAACATAGAGGCCAGGAACAATGACGGGGATACACCGTTGCTAAGGGCAGTCAAGTCCGGAAGAGCAGACAGTATCCGAATGATGTTGCAGGAGGGTGTCAACATAGAGGCTGCAAACAACAAAGGAGATACACCACTGCTAATGGCAGCTGAAGGAGGAGACGAGGTCATTCGAATATTGTTGGAGGCAGGTGCAGGTGCTAACATAGAGGCTAGGAATAATGACGGGGATACACCGCTGCTAAAGGCAGCAGCTAAGTACTTCACTGAAAGGACTGTTCAACTGCTAGTGCAAGCAGGTGCCAACATAGAGGCTAGGAACAATGACGGCGATACACCGCTGCTAAAGGCAGCAAAGGAGGGGGAACAGGAGACCGTTCGAAAATTGTTGCAGGCAGGTGCCAATATAGAGGCTAGGAGTAATAATGGGGATACACCGTTGCTAAACGCAGCGGAGAAAGGAGAAGCGGTCGTTCGAATATTGTTGGAGGCTGGTGCCAACATAGAGGACAAGAATAATGACGGGGATACACCGCTGCTAAAGGCAGCCCTGTTTCGACAAAAAAGGGTCGTTCAGTTATTGTTGCAGGGGGGTGCCAACATGAAGGCTGTGAATTATAACGGGGATACACTGCTGCTAGCAGAAGCCAAAGGGGAAAAAAGATGGGAGGATTTCCTAAAAACCATAGCATAAAAAACTAGCTCTCTAGTTACTTATACACAGTATTATAATCAAATTGATAGTTAAATAAAAAGGAAAAAATACTAGGTTATTCTTTACAACTGCGAGGGGGAAATCTTTAAGCTGTAAGCAGTGACCTGCACTACAGTTAACCCCATAACTAACTGCTCTCCGAATGTTGTTAAATGTAAGTGCTTATATAAGGCCATAATTAGCCGCTGCAGAAGGGTGATAACATAGAGGCCACAAATAATGACAGAAATAAGCCACTGCTAGAGGCATACTGGTTCCCAGGCGTCGTCTGCATATTACTGGAGGCAGGGGCCCACGAAGAGGCTGTAAATACGGATAATGACGGGAATACGCCACTACTAGATGCATGTTTGGTTCCTGGGCGTTGCCCGAATATTACTAGAGGCGGGGACCCATGGGGAGGCTGCAAGTAACGACGGGAATACGCCACTGCTAGTTAGATGCGTGTTGGTTCCTAGGCGTTTCTCGAGGCATACGCTGCGAATGATTAAATATTGAGGCACCCGAGTTTACATAGTAGTAGCTAGTTGCCTTGATATTTAATTTAACGTCTTATCAGGCGATGTTATAGAGCAGCGAGATGTTGAACGACGCACGCGAGGTTTTCCAGAACGCCATCAATGCATATCCGTGGGTATCGTCGCTGGCCAATATCCTGCCCCTCTCCGCTCTGCTTGACTTCATCGACATCCCACGCACGCTACACGCCTTCGAGCTAAATGGCGCCACGCCTCTGTGGTGCTGGCCCATCACTCCCGCCGGTAGCCGTGCAATCCTGTACGCGAGCACGACGGAAGATCCCTGCTGCCTCGACAAGTTCGGGAGCAGCGCCAGCCTGGTTTGTCTCGACGGCCGATGGGGCGATGTCTACAATGCTGCGAGCCCCGAGACCCTCCGTCTCTGCCTGGCAACGGCGCCCGTCGTTCGGATCGCTAACGACGACCTTCAAATGAAACGGGACGGTGCGCGCATGCAAAAGTTGACTGTAGTGCACGTGTCGCGTCTAGCACGCGAGTCTGAGCGGCCGCAACGGCCACACTCTTGGTCCTTCGTCGGCGCCTCCGTGATGGGGTGGATCCTCCTCGTCGGCTTGATCGTCTTTACTGGGCTGATGCACTGCTGGCTCTCCCTCGCCTTTCTTCTCGTCGTGCCAGCAACAGGCGCCGCCGTATCGCTCACTCGCGGGGGGAAGCCGCGCGAACTCCGACCCGTGACGCCTGGTAGATACGACCGCATCGTCGTTGCGGCACTGCACATGAACGAGACGGAGTGGTTCGTCTTCTACGGCGAAACCAAGCTCGTAAACTCGCTGCTCAGCCACCAGCTGCGATCCAGGCGCTTTCTCGACACCCACAACTGGGTATCCCACACCGCGTTGCGTGCTCTCATCCTCGGACAATGGGCGCTGGTGGTCGGCGCAGCGGCCTTGCAGGCCTGGGATGCCTATTTCATCACCTTTTGGATTGTGTTCTGCATCCTGTCGCACACACTCGTTTTCCCTCCCGAGCGCTGCGCGAAGGACTGGGCGGAGCGCGCTGCCCGAGTGCGCTTCGAGCGCTTCGAGACTCTTCTTAGCGGGAGACGACCGCTTCTGAATACCATCATGGCGCTGAACCCTGAGACCTTTCCCCGAGATCCGGTCACGGGACTGGAGAATCACGAGAAGCTCTATGAAGGCGGATTACTCTGGATAGACCCAATCCTCAAGCCCGGCGCCGACCGTTCGAGGTGGGAGGAGGCGACACGTCGGGCCATGGTGGCGGTTAAGAACCAGTCTTTCACTGGCAAGGGAGATGGAGATATCACGGTGGATGGACTGGAGGATAGGAATTGGGCGAAAGACTACCAAGAATCGTACTGGCGTAATTCGATTGTAGAAGGCATGGTGGTTGCAAAGAAGATTGTCGAGCAAGCAGGCCTGGGGCTTAGGGCTGATAGGACGTTTTACAATAAGGCTGTCTGACGTCGGTGTATATAGCAGATAACTTGGAGAAATGAAGGAGAAATCACGACAAAGTCAATTCTTGTACGAATCGCGGCTAAAGCAGCCCAGTCTCCAATGTCTCAGTGATCCCTTGTGTACCTACTTACCTAACTAAATATGACTAAAGTACCTGTTGTCACCTCCTTTGACCGGTAGAGTGTGCTACCCGTTCTCTACATGTCCTACAAAGGTATAAACGATATCTCTATTGGTCTATCAAAAATTCACCATGCATACCAAATCACTTAACACGAAGCTGAACTCTCAGGGCCGGGATGACTGGTATTTCTAAGCAGATTCCAATTTTAGATGTTGGAAGCGTCTGTTATCTCACAACAACCGGATGCGCAAGACTCTGAGCCGAGCAGCATGAATCAGGGGCAAGTAGTTTACTCACGGGCGCCCAACAGAGCTATCATTTTGATATCCAGCGACGCAGCCGCCACCTGCTCTCGGACAGCCCCATACTGTCGGTCAAAACCTGGGACTTGGGACCGAAGGCGGCCGCGGGACGCCGCAAGACAGAAAACACACATGCCGCCAGGCCAATCGTGCAGGATATTGCGCACGTGGTCAGCACGCACCCTTCAGGGGCTAGGGCTGGAAGACATGGTGAGCCGTAGACATCTTGCAAGACGATCTTGTTCGCCGGACACGGAAAAGGCGGCTCGAAGCGCAAGGCGCCCGAGGCCGCCGCCGACGTCGACGAAGACGTGGACAACGCTAAAGTCCGCGGTCTCTTGCTCGGACGGATGGGAATGTAGTAGAGCGATTGTGGCCGTGACGTTGTTGTAGGAGATATGGTGTGGCTACATGGAACCCCATTCTAACGAGCTAGGCGCTGTCTTCTCTACATTATGACAAACGCATCAAGGTATTTTTATTTTGCGATCAAATGAGATAAAGTATACGTCAAACGCGTTTGATTCGAATCTCTACGAACCATGTAAATGCTGATCTAAACAGCAGCGCCGCGACCGCGATGTTTTGTGCGCGTGTCCCGACAGCAACGGGGGCTATTAAAAACACATATCATTCAACGGCGAACAATGAAGTCGGGCAGGCGGTCGCAGAGGCCGGTGACAGGGTGTAGATTAACCAGAGGCCGGCTTCCTCGAGCTTCAATTCGCGAACTTGCGGGCGCACGGCGCCGGTAGAATGGGGCCTGGATAGTGCTTCTCCACCGGCACTTCGATGGTAGACGATGAAGGACATGTGGGTTGAGTCTGCGCCTGAAGTACGTAGCACAGCATCTATCCTGGCAACAGCTGCAAATAGGCGAAACATCAGCTGCGGGTAGATGCCTCGGGTGCCGTGGTGATACAACAGAATAGAATATAGTCAGTGACAAACGACCCATCATCAACTTGTCGGGTTGAGCCTATCAGCCCATCAAGCAACACAACGGCTTCGTGGCCTAATGGCTAGGGCGCTAGATTTCGGTTATCCAAATATCTGATCCTCTAGAGATTGTCGGTTCGAGTCCGGCCGAAGTCGAGATATCTTTTTGGTAATCTTTCGTCATTTTATACCTGCTCCATTCTGTGGATCGAGGGATGACTGATAGATAAGCTATCATCATCGGCTTTCCACGTAGGCACTGACACTTTTTTGCTGAGATAGTGGCGGTTGCAGGTCATTGGGGGAGGGGCGGTCGCACGACGTGCCGCCTGAGACAGGAACGCCCGATCTCGGCGGGTCCGGCAGAAACATCCCTCACCGCCTAAATGATATAGAGTCGTACCGAGTCGTCGTTGCGCGACTCGTCTCGATTTCTCGCTGCCATGACCGATCGAGGCTCTGTGACGATCCAGCAGGTCCCATAGAGCAGCAGTGGCAGGAGTGCTCGCGGCGAGGGCAGTTTCGACACGATCCTCACACAAACATGTCCGCCTCTCTCCCTGGAAACCGGGAGCTGCCCGAGTCGCAGTATGACCTGAGCACGTACTGGGGCCGCGTGCGCCATACCGCCAGCATTACCGATCCGAGGTGAGCCGTTCTGGTGTCGCGGGGCAGAGCAAGGCACGGCTAACCCGAGGTTTCTGTGTAGGACTCTCCTGGCTGGAGCGAGTGGTCTCGAGAGCGCGAAGAAACTGATCGTGGCATACAAGACGGGCGAGATCAAGGAGATGACTCCCGAGCTATGGAAGGCGAAGAAGATTGTCGACTCGACAATACACCCTGGTGCGTTTCCCATCCCCCCGTTGCGCTTGCGGCCTTAGAACCTGTTTGGCTAATTGGGCGTGATATGCGACCAGATACTGGCGAGCCAGTCATGCTGCCCTTCCGGATGTCATGTTTCGCCCTCTCGAACCTGGTTGTCACGGCAGGAATGCTTACGCCCGGCTTGGGGGTACGCGCTGCCCCTTTACGCTCCCGAATACCCCGTCTCATTGTGAACACGGCTTGAAAAGAAGCGCCGACTAGAGCAAAGACTAACTCGTTTTCAATGCGCACAGAACACCGGAACCGTCCTCTGGCAGATCGCGAACCAGTCCCTCAACGTCGCCATCAATAATGCGAACGCAAACAAGTCGACGCCGCTCTCGTACTCGAAGCTCGCGCAGTCCTACTTCCTCGCCGTGGGCGCCTCGTGCTCCGTGGCCGTGGGCCTGAACTCCCTGGTGCCGCGCCTGAAGCGCGTGTCGCCCTCGACGAAGCTCATCCTCGGCCGCCTCGTGCCATTTGCCGCCGTCGCGTCCGCCGGCTTCCTCAACGTGTTCCTCATGCGCGGCGAGGAGATGCGCGTCGGCATCGACGTGTACCCGGTCCTGTCGGCGGCCGACAAGGAGAAGCTGGCCGCCGAGGGCCGGGCCGAGAGCGACGTGCCCTCGCTGGGCAAGAGCCGCAAGGCGGCGACGCTGGCGGTGGGCGAGACGGCGCTGAGCCGCGTCCTCAACAGCAGCCCCATCATGGTCGTGCCGCCCCTGATTCTGGTCCGCCTGCAGCGCACCCAGTGGCTGCGCCGCAACCCGCGCCTGACGATACCCGTCAACCTGGGCCTGATCCTGGGCATGAGCTACATCGCGCTGCCGCTCGCTCTTGCGGCGTTCCCCCAGCGCCAGAAGATCAGCGCCGCGAGCCTCGAGGAGGAGTTCCATGGTCGCGGCGGGGACGGCGGCATGATTGTGTTTAATCGTGGAATTTGATACCCCCCCAAACATACTAGACAGCGTCTCTTATAAGAAGTTTTTTTTTAGTAGAAAGACGAAAGAGATATAGCTTAGACATAGAGAAAATGGTGGACGCCTCCGTCTGATCGGTCGGATTCCCTTACGCATGCTACATACCCGGGGGCCCAAGGAGATGGTACGGCACTGGACGGGACGGGACGGGACGAGGCAAAATATTGCCCCCTTACTTCCTGACCCACGGGGGATTGGGATGACGATATCTCATGTTACACGCCTTCTCACTTTCTAAAAGAGGCTAAGAACAGCTAGGTACGCCTAATGAATGAATACCCGATAGAGAGGAAGTCGAGGAGATGAAGAGATGCGCTCTGCTTCATATCAGTATCGAACTATCTAGGTACTTACGAACTATTCGACAATGATGGACTAGACTGTCTTGTTCAGTAAGACCACTTGAGTTCATATCCCCCGTGTTCTTTGCTTTCGTCTCGTCATTGCTTGTCATATCTACGATGGTATTCATCTCTATGAATTTTGATACAAACTTTTGTTTGGCAAGGCCGCCATCGTTCTCATAAACGTATGTAAGTATGTATGCACGTACGCCAGGTTAGCCGTTGTCTGCGCAGTACAGGTGTACCTGCAAGGTCCTTCCGATGGGCGCACAGGTTTCACCGGGAGTTCGGGTAGGTGCATCGGGAGCCCTTTCATCCTTGCGGGGGCCAGACTATCTTGAAGGTCGCGGAGATGGGCAATCATCCATGAGGGGGGAAACATGCAGTAGGATGCATGCATTATATACTAACTGTTTACGTTGTTCTGGACTTCTATGGCGACTATGTTTTTTTCCGTTTTCTTTTTTGGGTCTGTTCGAGGTTCTCTATATCCCCATAGTGATTTGGGTGTTGTGTTGTGTTGGGCGTTTGTTGGGCATCCCGTCGGCACCTTGGATGCCATTGCGTCGGCAGGGCCACTTGACTGAATGCTCCAGTACGTTGAAACATGTGGACAATGACGTGCAGTGTTGTGAACTTGTGTGGTTGATGGCAACTGGGGTGTCCAACAGGGTATTACTACTTAGTTAAGTACTTAACCTTCCTACCTACATGGTGATGTATAGAAAGTTATGGCGGGCATAGAGGGGGGTCTCCTATACTAGACCTGTGCGGTTAGGTTAGATGGTCTGCATGGAAATACCACGTTAGACAGGAAAACAGTGTAAAAAAAAAAGCCCAGGGTTGGCTGGAATTTCCCATCACAGCAAGCCGGCGGGCTGCTTTGCTCTTCTGCAGTCTGCAGATGATCATGGTCGCCACCCCGCCCTTAGCTGCGCACCGCATAAGCTGGGCCACGCAAGTGGTGGCTTGATCGCGGGAATGTGTGTAGCATCCAGCATCCAACATCCAGCGAATCCGCGGGGTCAGTATATGAAAGGGAACCGCCCGTACCTTGTTTTCCTCGACTTGTTCTCGGCGGTTCTGTTTGAGAGACTGGACGACCAAATACCGAGAAGGCATTTGCTTTCTCGGCAGAGGGAGAGAAGGAAAGACAGAAAGAGAAAAGAGACGGAGAGATCTCGCCTCGACTGAGAGCCGAGATGAAGGGTCTGGTTGGCCCGTGCGACGGACGCCCTTCCATCGTCACCAGCGTCGCTTTGGGACATGGCGCAGCCCGGATGTGATGGCCTCTACGTACCATGTGCTTTCTGATGCCGACGTGGCTTGCTGATGCTTCCCAGCTCAGCCGGGGAGGAGGGGAGGGTGGCTGCTCAAGTTCTGTTGCGCTTGACATAGGTACGCACTCGACAAATCCTGACATTTTCCATTTCTCTCGTTGTACGCCATTCCCTTTCATTACGCTCGGTCGGGGCCGTGAGGTGTCGGTTACATAAGCAGTGATTCTCCCCACGGGCATGTTTACCCAACCGAATCCGAACTCGCTACGTTGCGGCCCTGAGATCCGGGGAGGGGGTTACGTGGTACTGGTTCATGGCACGTACCACCCTGCGTATTCTCGTGAGGAGGTACAGCAGGGCGACCTGCCGCACCCTTCGTCTTATTGTGGTATTCCTGTGCCTGGGTCCCCAGTACAGGGTGTACCATGTACGTACTTGGTAACACGCCAAGATCGACGGGTTGGTCGTCTCATAATGGCATGGCGATGCAAGTGACTTCATAATCCCCCCCCCCATGTCTTGTGTATTAGAAGTAGGCAGGTAAAGAGGGGCCGGGGCACGAGTCCAGTGGGCAGGGCAACGAGACGAGACCTCGAGAGAAGTCAAGGATTGGGAACGGCAGCCGAGGGATGCCGGCCAATGGATCGTTGGATGGGGGGAAGAACGGAAAATCCTACCCTCCATTGGGAAAAAAGCGGCCTTTTGCTGGATGGTGGACAGCTTTCTCGCCACTTAAAGCACAGCGCCGACGAAAGGTTTCCCCGGCGGGATTCGAGCTGGAATTGGCCTTGCTGTGATGCGTTGTTGGCACCGCCCGTACGTACGTGCGTACATACATAAGTACATACACAGCACCCACCCAGTGCAGGTGCTGCTGCTTCGCTCGCTGCGCCAGCTCTGGAAACTACTTACCTAACTGGTCCGAACGCTCGCACTGATGCCTTACCTGCTCACCATGATGTTTTGCATGATGCTGCACGGGAGTGGTCATGTAACAGTGCTGTAGCCCGGCAGGGCCGGAATCCTTGATCGACCACCTCTCGCAAGTAATGTACAAATCATACATGGTACAAACTAACGATTCACGCCATTACGTGGGTGTCGTGAATTGGTGAGGGGCTTAGGAGGCGGAACATTCGGTCGTGCTCTTATATAACCCGTACGTACCTACCTGTTAGACTAAGTAGGTGGTGTACTTTGTGTACGGAGAGAGGGGAAGAGATAGAGAGGCCAGCATGACATAGGTATCTCGGGAACCGTCAAGCCCGTAACTAGGTAATTTCTCTGTAACTGGCTGTTTTATTGAATATCACTCCACCATGGCTGGCGGAAAACCAGGCAGACTTGTCTAGATGGAAAAAGCCACCTCAATTTATGCACTCAGCGCGCGCGTCGCACACAGTAGGACCACCATCAACCTATAAGTCGGTAAACCAGAAATGATGCCACAACAAGGTCGAATAGGTACCTATTGGGCAGTAGAAATGTCCTTGTTTATAGATTTCAGGGTCCACGGCCCTTTAGGGGGGGATGCAAATCCAGGGCGACGTAGGGTCCCCGTCCCAGGACGACGAGCAGGCTGGCGTGGGCTATAACATCAGCAGATGAGGGGTTATTCCCTCGAACCCGGCAAGCGACCGTACCAGGGGGGGAAGGATGATGCATGGGCAGGACAAGGGCAGGGCAGA